GTTAATGAGTGCATTGGTCGAAAACATTATTCATTCTTGTAATTTGCGTTCCAGCTCTAAGAAAACCTTCGCATTGATTTCATCCACTTCGTCCTCCACCTGGGCAAACAAAGAAATTGGACAAAATAATAAATTTGACGTAAAACTCTGCAAAGACATACAGTGTTCAACTTTGTGTCAAATCAGGACAAAATCTAAACTCGGTATAGTAGCAAGTAAGTAAATTATCTATCCTCATGATTTAATTTGGAAGTGGTTACTAAAGTTTAAAAACTGGACCCACAGAATTAAAAATTACAGTCTGGTGTTATTATTTAGTCTTGATGGGGATTGTTATGGAACAATTTCCTGTATATGATGATTTATATCAATAAGGAAACTTCTCAGATAAATCCCAGAATGAAAGCAACATTGATACTTATTTTCAGAACAAAAACCTGCATAAATCTCTGCTCAGCTAAAAAAGCACACAGTAGATTTATCATGCGGTACAAAAGATCTCCATTATCACCTGTTCTACTGTGTCTACTTCTGGGATGTAAAACTGCAGCATGTTCTGAATCCCATTCCGCAGTGTGACTGAGGAGCTGGGACACCCTGTGCAGGAGCCGACCAGCTTCAGCTTGACCGTGCCGTCCTCAAAACCCTTGTAGATGACATCGCCTCCGTCCTCCTGCACTGTCGGCCTTGTTGAATCATGTTATACAACACAAAACAACAGAAAGGATAGAGAGTTTTGTCTGATATCTCAGTACAGCTGTCTTTAACCATCACTTCAGACTGCTGAGTAGAGCGATGTTATTAAGTTCATTAAATTCTGCTCTTGTTCTTGTCTACAGCACATCAACACCAGCATCGGCCCCAATCACTAAAGGAGCTCACAGCATGTCTGAAAACAGCTACAGACTCCAAAAAAACACCATAATGGCTTTCAACTTCTTTGTACCTAATCCTGGTGTCCAGAAGCTCCTTTATCATACAGACAATTTCATCATCATCTTCTGAAATACCTGCAATAAAGAAAATGTACTGTTTATTTTTTGTACAATATTGTTCACACAATATACAGTGAATGCCAGCGTAAGCAAAATGGCCACATTTCATAACTCACTGCTTTCATGGTGAACCTCCCCTGTTGTTATCAGGTCACCACTCTCAAAGAACTTAGTAATGGCGTCCGAAGCATGACGCTTGATGTCTGTCCATTCCACATCTTCATCTGCCTGAAAGGACACCACAGATCTCATGGAAATGTTGTCTCTCTACCACGATTTCATAGCAATAAAATCACACGGAGAAGCTGTTAAAAATACAGTTCATGCTTACTTTAGTGACTGTGATGAAGTCAGGGCCAAAGAACACACTTTTCACTCCTTCAATCTCAAACAAGACCCTGAAACAAACATTTTATCATGTTAATGCTCAATAAAATTAAAACTGCAACACACAATGACAGTGAGAAGTCTGAATTAATTTGAGTTCATTCAACTATGACAAAATCCAGTTGTGCTGGTCTTAAGATCACTGATGACTGCACTGCTCCAACAATGTTGTCACTTAGATCATGACAAGAAAGAATGTATGAGTCAAAGAGTACACAACAGCTACACATATATGATTCACACAATACGTTTGTAACAGACAGGCGCACAGATACAGACACAAAAATGTTCCTAAGTGAGACAGACATTTCTATTAAAATCTATTTTGTCAAATTAAAAACATTACAATGTCAACCTGACAAAGTACGACAGCAAACTGGAAACACAACCTGGCTAAAGATGAAGATTCCGCAGAGCTTGGAGAAGGAAAGTCAAGTGTTCCACTTCCTAGGACTGGTTTACCAGGGAGAAACTTCAAGCTTCTGGGGTTTGGAGTGTCTTGAGTCTGGATGGACAAGTGTCTTACTGGAAAATATCACAAAAAAAGATTTCTTAGTAGTTTTCCCCACAAACCAAGCAACCTACCAGTAGTTTTTAGTTGGATGGTAATCTGTTCATTCAAGTAATTGAAAATGACCTTTTTCATCAATTTATCATTATTTATTTAGAATTCTGACTGTTCAGTAAGTGTTTTTGTTATTTTAAACATAAAGTTCAGCAATTCCACTCTCTCCATTGTAAATGTCCCCATTTTCTATGGTAGTAAACTCAACAATGTGTGTGCTTTTGGCTGTAGCTGGTCAAACAACAAAAGCAAATGAAGTACATTCCCCTTCCTCATTACCGTACCTCGCAAAAATATTTTTTGTGTGAATCAAGTGCATTCCACAAAATTAGTGATGTTTAAAGTTTAATTTCCCCTCTCAAGTTCTACCCCCCTCTCTGTCCATAAACATATTTGTATGTTGCCAGGAAGTTAATTATTTCTTGCTCTGTAGATGATTTGTGCTGTTTTGAATTCCAGCAGATGCCTGAATCTCAATGCATGTGACTTTTAAAAACAGGTTGTTGGTGTGTTCCCAGTTTCCCCCTGTGTGTGGATCAATAAGGTTTCATCTTCTCTTATATTAGACCTAATTAAATTGAATAAAACCTGTGGATCCAGGGGCCCTGGGCTTTGACTGAAGTGTCCAGACACTGGGGTCTTACTTGGGAAGAGCGTGGCTCCTGCTGTCCTGCGATGAGACTGAAGTCCTCTGGAGCTCCGGGTCGTGCACTGGGAGTGATGCGAGCTCGTGATCTGCTGTGGATACCTGACGATAAAGAGCAGTGACGTACACAGCGTGTGGACCATCACAGGACATTAACTCCTCCATGTTTCACGGGCAGTGTTAAACAGAGAGGTCGAGGCGATGAGTGAAAACACGCGTTCAGCTGCAAAACTCAGGGATTTGTCCAAAAACTACAAACTACACAGAAGCTTGATCGTTTACTGACAGAGAAGATTACAGCTGGCTAACGTTAGCTGCTAACACACTGCTACCAGGGAGCGCGAGGAACACATACAATGAAATAAAGATAATAAAACACGAGAGTAGCTCAACTAAAATAACTTAAACCAGCTTTATTCGATATGTCCACAGAAATACATGACGGGCTGTTGCCTAGCGTCGCACTTTGCTTGTTAGCTAACCAGCTAGCTAACCGCCGCGTCATAACAACCAGTCGACTGTTTATGATGCGACACAACTGAACTAAAACGTGTTTAATTAGCAGTACACATTAATACATCGCATCTATTCAGAGGCTCAAACCTAATGTGAGACGTATTTCTCGCTCGTAACAGCTGGAGAAGACCCCATCTCATGTGCGCCGCCATTTTGTTTGTTTTGAAAATGAGGCCCTCGTGTGGTCGACAGGGATCCTGTCATCCTGTCCACGGAGCAAACGCAGCTTTATTATTAATATTAGTGCACATTGCAGTGTTGTAGAGACGTCATATTACTTTTTTCAAAACATCTTTTACAGAGGTGAAGACAGTTTTAAGCGTCATGTGCTGGGAAGTAAAATGCTTCATGTTTGTTTGTTGGTTTGACGATGTCACAGCTTCTATTTGCCCTTTTAATGTGATGTGTTGCCTGATCTCATGCTGTATATTTACACTACACCTTCATCCTGTAGGTGGTGTTTCAGCTTTATTTCAGACTCATAGGTTCATAGTACAAAACCTCCTCAACAGTCCCCGAAGTCCCCAAACAGACAAATAAACAAACACAGACGAAAACATAACATCTGCAGGTAAATTAATTTCACAAATGAAAAAATACAGAACAATAATAGAGAAATGCAATCATCACAGGTTACAAATCCACATGACACATTCATACACAAAATTCCTTAGCACAGTAGGAACAATTGGGAAATTGTTGTGGCTTGTAACTTGGAAGCTTGAACATAAGTCTGAATGCATCACTGTGATCATTATATGCCACCTCAAGCTTGTTATACATTGTTTTATAGAGCTGCACCACAAGTGTGTCTAAATGTCTTCCTTTCACATCTTCAGACTCTTGCCACTTTTGCTGGATTTTATGTCAGTGAAAAAATGTTTTATTTATTAGCATCTGCAGTTTTAGTCCATTGTCCTTTAATTCATACAGGAGCTGCATGGTATACACAGAGTTCAGTATAACAGTTACAATGCTTCATAAATACCATCCTGCAAACCGATGTATGTTTAATACTAATGACGGGTCAGAATCAACATCATCCTGATCACACATCTTCTTTGGTCATGTTTTACTACGGCCCTTGTTTGAGACAGATATTTCCTTCATGAAGTACTCATATGGTTACTTTCATTTCCTCAGAAACCTTCAGTTTATTACCTGAAAGAAAATCTGACGTCAGTGCCTTGTTATTTAGCTGTTGAGTGAATCAGCACTTTGTTTGAATAACAAATCCTAATGAGATGGACACACCTGATTTTACAGAGCATGAATATTTCAGGTCTGTAAAAACAGTGTACAGCTAAACTCCATACATAGTATTGTACTGTACTTTGTAGCAATTCCATATCAACACAGTCTTATCTCTACCTATAATAATAACATCACAATTTGCTGTGTTTGTTGATTACACCCACTATTATGAATTAAAATAAGTATTTATAGCCTATAAACAGGTTTTTCAGAGCGACCTGATCAAGTTGAGTGTCTTTGGTTCAAAGCAAACACTGTTGCTTGGTTTTAAGCAGTCCAACCCCATATTTCTCAACACTTTTTCCAGCAGCAGAAGATGTTGAATAAGAGGAGTGGCATGAGTGACTCCCACAAAGGCGCTGCACTCTGAAAGGTGGTGGAGTCAAAACTAACGTCAAGGACATTCTTTACTGGAAGAACCTGAAGAACACTAACATCACTGGTTGGGGCATGATTTTTCGTGCTGGTATGCAGCTATAGGGTGGACTCCACGAGCACTTTACTCAGATGTCTGATTTTTGAGAGAGTGAACGGAACCAGGACTCAAGAAATCCCTGTTTCAATTTGAATTTTAACTTTGTCATCCTTATCAACAAGACATGGTGGTCTGGATCATCCTCCCCATTGCCCTCTCGCTGGTGTCCTTCATTGGAACATGGAGCATGTAAGTGAACCAGAGACTCACATTTTTATATTTGACCTATGAACATGAATAAGTTAATGTTTCACTATGGACTACTGATTGGTTTATGTGAATGACCTCATTGTTATTATCAATCTGTATTTTGCTTTTCATGTTCTTCTATTCTAATATTTGACCATTTATTTGCTATCAGTGAAAAAAAAAAACATTATTATCATTTTTATTATTATAATGTTTATTTGTCCTTTTTATTATTTTAGACAATTCTTTACATAGGCTAACATTGTATGTCTATGAGCCCTTTGTGTGTGTGTGGTTGTGTTTTTAGGGGTTAAAATGCATGTAAAGAATGAGTGTAAAAAGAATTTCCCCTTGAGGGATTAATAAAGTATCTCTTCTTCTTCTTCTTTAAACAGAGAAAGCAAAAAGTTGAGTTTTGGGTCATGTTATTTAAAGGTGGTCAGCACAGTCTTTTATTTTGAATTTAAAAGCTCTTGAAAACTACCCTGTTGCTGAACATTTCGTGAAAAGCGAATCATTGAAAAAAGTGATCTGTCAAGTTCTTTGTGCTGCTGGGTGTGAACACTGGACACTTCAGGAATAACAAAAAACAATAGACTGTGTCTCAAAACCAAGACATACAAACATACTGGCACATTGAGTTATTCATGTGGATAATCAAGCTCTTTCTCATCAGTGAGATCATTTTGCTTTACCATCCACTTCCATTTAGTTTTTCACTGAACATCTTTTATTAAGTTATACATATATATATATATATATATATATATATTTAATTCATATCATATTTTGAATTTGATTGTTTTTGGCTAAATTGCAGGAGAGAACTATGGCCCCCAGTCTAACGCATACCTCCACCAAGGCCCAACCTTCCCCTTAAATTCATTAATTATGCTGATTATTTTGAATGAATCACTCATTGGGAAATGTTTCAAAAGGTCAATAAAAACACACTGTCATGCACTGTCAAAGAAAGTGAAAAAAAAGGGTAAAACGAAAGAATGCCTCCCCTGATCCCGATCTACACAAAAACTCAACACTTTCTGACCCATACTACATCTTTCCACCAAGTTTGGTGGGAACCGTTTGGTTGTTTTTGTGTAAGCTTACTCACAAACAAACAAACAGACGGGTGGAAACATAAGCTCCTTGATGGAAGTGATCAGTTGTTGGTCAAAATGTTAAAGGTAAAGGACAAATAACTGTAATGAGCTGATGATAATGAGTTAAAAAAAAGTGAAAAGTGGAAGGTGATGATAATAATGATGCACTGTTACGTATCAGTAACACAAACAATACAGTTTGCACAATACAATACATTCCCATCAAATCAACAATGCTGCAGAACCCAACTTGTGTCACTAATTTTGGTTCTCTTTTAATTATCCAGATATGGCCTGGCCTTCTCCAATAAACACGTGTGCTCCCTCAGTGACTGGTAAGTTGTGTGATGTTGATTTTAAAACGTCACCATCAACATCTGGATGTGACAGATTCTCTTAAAAAACATTTTGAATTCTTCCTAAGGGGGGGTGAGAACTTCTGCACAGGGAATCATTCCGCTGGATGTTGCCGTGTTCCAACCATAAGGTAAAAAATACTAAGACTATAAAGACTAAATTTTATATTTCTTGAAATAGTGAGACATAACTAATCTTAACAAATGATTCCAGCTCAAGTGGAACCAGCACACCAGAAAATTCCCTTTTTACAGCCGTGATCAACGCTGCATCCTTCCTGTGTGAGTTAACCTGCTGAAGGCCCAACACCTTCACATACATGATATGAGTCAATGTGTTGTAGCCCTGACAGCTGTGTCTTCCTCCTACAGTTCTGGTCTTCTGCATATTCCACCATGCACATGTTATGGAGAAACACGCATGTCATTCTATGTTGAGCAAGTTTGCGCTGGTCTTTGGTGTGGTGTCGTCCATCGGGGCCTTCGCTGCTGGAAACTGCAACGTAAGTGCCGCACTTCCTGCACGATGTGTTCTTGATGCATGGGAATCAACATGTCTCAATGTTTGTTATATAGCACAGGTTGGCACAGATCCTCTTCCACAGTGTTTTAACATAAAGTTAGAGAAGCTAAGTAAACTGTGCGATTTCTATTAAAGTGATAATATCAAGTGTGTTCAAGACCCCATATCAACAATAGCACTTGAAAATGTTTAATTTGCAGAGAATGAATCAGTC